TTGAGTTCCAGGACAGCCAGAGTTAGGTAGGGAGAACCTGTCTCCAAAAAAACAAAACAAAAGAACAGAATAAAACATTTATCTCCTTGAAATGTCAAAGCCTTTTTTGTGATTAAATTACTTTGAAGTAGCCGGGTGGTGGTGGCAGAGGCAGGCGGACTGAGACCAGCCTGGTCTACAGAGCGAGTTCCAGGACAGGCTCCAAAAACACATACACACAAAACAACAACAAAGAATATCCTCACTCATTTCCCATAGCACTGTAAGGAGCTATTGTAATTTAATCAGCCCCTCACTGTGGATATTTGGGTGTTTCTTTTAGCATGGCACGATTTAAAATAACAAGCATGGTGGTACACACTTTTGTTTTCTTTTTCTTTTTTGAGAAAGGATTTCTCTGTGTAGCTCTGGCTGTCCTGGAACTCAATCCTTAGACCTGGCTGGCCTCAAACTCAAGAGATCCACCTTGCCTTTCCCAGCACTCAGGAGGCAGAGGTAGATGGAACTCTACCAGCTTGATCTGCAGAGGAATTCCAGAACAGCTTGAGCCACACAGAAAAGCCCTGTCTCAAAACAACAAAACAAACAAACAACTACTACAAAAAACAAAATACAAACAACACATACTTGCAACACCTTTCCAGCCCAGAGCTAGCACAGACTCAATGTTCCGTTTTCCAGGGCTCTGAAGGCACACTGATTGTTGTAGCTGAGTGTTACAGTTTTCCTGTTCAGGCTTAGCTAAACAACAGCTAAGATTCTACCATTTAATTAAACTATGTAATTATCTGATGGGTAAGTATATACTAACCTGTTATGTGAGACAAGCTGACCTGAAGGTAATCCAAGGCCAGTGAGTCAATCACCGACTGTACATTGTGGGCATCGTCCTCTTGACTCCTGGAGATAACTATGAGGTCTGTGGTGGAGGGAAGTGACATCATCTTACATCGCTGAAGGGGCCAAGTTGTAACGTAATTAATACATACATACATACATACACACACACACACACACACACACACACACACACACACACACACACCTCTCTGACGAGGTTTGTGAATAAACTCCACTAATAACAAAAACAATTCAAAACAGGATTTATAGAGCCTAAGCTCTATGTACTAGAGTCTCTATTGGTTGACATTTATTGAACTTACTTTTCAATACTCTTTAAATATTTTTCACCCAATGTATGAGTATACTCTATAGAAGCACCATGTAGACGAATAAACAGAAGTCCTTAAATTCAAGGCATTAAGAGAGTCTAGTAACAGCAGTAAGGCTGGGTATGATGACATGTCTAAGCTCAGCACTGGACAGATAGTAGCTGTATTATGAGTTTGCAACTACACTAGTCTATATAACAAGACCTGTCTCAAAAACAAAACAAAAAGATATTTAAACCCCTAACTATGGGCTTGTTTCCTTGACAAAGTAAAGCAAAAACTAAATCTCATCAGGCGTTGGTGGCTCAAGCCTTTAATCCCAGCACTTGGAAGGCAGAGGCAGGCTGATCTCTGTGAGTTCAAGGCCAGCCTGGTCTACAAGAGTGAGTTTCAGATCAGGTTCCAAAACAATACAGAGAAACACTGTCTCAAAAAAAACAAAACAAAACAAAGGAAAAAACAAAAAAACCCTAAATCCCAAATCAGCCAGGTATGGTGGCATATGCCTTTAATTCCAGCTTTGGGGGCAGGGCAGGGGAACGACAAAGTACAGCCTAGTCTACAAAGCAAGTCCTGGGTCATCTGAGGCTATAGGTGATACTATGTCTCAAAACCAAAACCAGAACACCAACCACAGGAGGTGTTCAAGTAGTTGTTTTTTATATGCCCTATCTGGGTATAACTGGCATAAAAGCTAAAGTATGGAGGAGAATATGCAAAGATTTTAATAGCAAGGCAAGTGTCTCCTCTGGGTGGAGTGGCACAAGTCTTTAATCCCAGCAAAAAGCAGGTGCATCTCTGAATTCCAGGCCAGCCTGGTCTATAGATCAAGTTCCAGGACAGCCAGAGCTACACAGAGAAACCCTGTCTAAAAAAAAACAAAACAAAACATCAAAAACACGAACCCTAGACAGTTGAAACTAACATCAAGCTACTACAAGTCAAAGCATTGCTCTAGAAAATGTGGAAGACACTCATTCAAGTTAATGGTGGGGAGCGCAAAGGATACTGATTTTATAGCAACCTGTACTGTCTAAGGATAAGGGATCTTCCATATCTAATGGAAGACACACAGTAATTGGACACCCAAAAGAGCAATCACAGTAAGTCATATTCATTTGCTGTCTTCTTAATAAATTAGGTTAACCAAGTTTAGACAGCATTTTTTTTTTCCAGACAGGGTTTATGTAACTCTGGAATTCATTATGTAGACCAGCCTGTCCAGCATATCCCACTGTAATGTTAATTCTCATCTATAATTAGTAGTTAAATAAGACTCAACAGGCCAGGCATTGGTGGTGCATGCCTTTAATCCCAGCACTTGGGAGGCAGAGGCAGGCGGATCTCTGTGAGTTCGAGACCAGCCTGGTCTACAAGAGCTAGTTCCAGGACAGCCTCCAAAGCCACAGAGAAACCCTGTTTCAAAAACAACAACAACAACAACAAAAATCCTAGCACCAGGCTGGCCTCAAACTCACAGAGATCCTCCTGCCTCTGCCTCCGGAGTGCTGGGATCAAAGGCATGGGCCACAAATGCCTGGCCCCACTCAAATATTTAACCTTGAATTGAAGGTAGTTACAGAAATGACTCTCAAAGGCATGAATGAATTACACAGGATTGGATTAGATGAGGATTAACTCAAATGCCAAACTCATCATAGCTGTTATTGTGGGTGAGGTCCATCATGTACTCATTAAAGCCACTAGTGTCATAGTTGGATAGAACTAAGATGTTGAAAGGAAAACAAAATTCTATGTCAAAGGAAATTCATGACCCAAGACAAAAACAAAATTATTCTCACTTTTCAGTACCCTTACCTGGTACCTTTTCTCCCAAAATGGACTGATAAAGCGCAATAAAAACATTAGCATCACAGTCTTCAAGTTCATGTATCCTCAGGTGTATGTGACATTTAAAAAGAAGGTTATTGGCCATTTGTACCCATTCTGTTGGGGAAGAAGGGAGGGGGGAATCAGTCTTCAATAGCAATAGAAAAAGTATATACATTAAAAACTGTAGAAGATAAGGGCTTTTGTCATGTAATTGCAAATACTCAACTGGAAAATAATTTTCAAAAGATGTTCTTAATTTCCTGGGATGACTTCCAGTGCTAGCTTCTACACAGTCAAAACTATTGTGTCAGTCCAACTTTCACTTTTGCAAGCTAAGATCCCATCTACCAGTATCTTTGTAGTACTTACATAAAGGTGTTTTTAGTTACACTTATAGATGAGCAGGGATGTTTTAAGATAGTTGTAAATGATAATCTGAAGTTGCCTGAATCTGACCTAGGTGGCTCCAAATTCCCAATAGTTTTATGCAATTATCTTGTGTAAGTTAAGATCTCTTGGTGCCCAAACAAGTGATTAATTGAGGCTATTAGAAACTGGAATAACGACCACACCAACACTAATGCAATTGTTTTCTTTTTATTGTATTTGCTGTATAAGGAGGTAAATATGAGGAAAACACAAACACAGAGCTAGCTCTGAACTAGCACATTAATACTGCTCAAGTTCTCCATTTTTTAAAAAACGGTTCTTGCCCTCCCCTATATAGTGCAAGACCAAGTTTAAGGGTTTCAGCAATAATCCGAAAGCTTGAAACACCTGTATCCTAAAATGATTGGTTATTAAAGGCAAGGCACTTTAGAACCAAGCCATGACAACCATTTTGTATGCTGTCCTGGGGAGGAGGCAAGGCGTCCTAGACAACCGAATCAATTGGCTTTTCAAAGGCAGTATTAGACAAAGCCGTTTACTCTAGAGGACATCAAAAGCTCTTATGAGTGCGATGCCTCAAAAAAAAAAAAAAATCAATACAGAAGAACATTCCGCCTTAGTCCCTACAAAGCAAAAGAGGAGACACAGCCTGTGTCTAATGTCCCAGAGAAGGGTCCTTTACTGCTCTGTAAAGACAGGATGCGGGTGTCCCAGCCTCGCCAGCGAACCGAACCCCTCGGCCACATCCCAATTGTCCGTTCCACGACTAGACCCTAAATTCAGAGGCGCCCGCCCACTCCCCCGCGATGGCCA